AGGTCATGTAAATGTTCCATTAAATTCGAAACTTTTCTTGGTGGAAAATATTAATATGTTTGTTATTTTATGAGAGATGAATGTATCAGCTTCAAAATGAAAAAAATTGCGCAGCCAGTGATTGACAGTATGTAGTGCGCATTGAGAAAAGAAGGTGCTCTCCATTCATGTTCAATTTTTTGGTCAACTATGCCTGTTGAAAATTTGATGGCGGGGAACACGTGGGACTTCAAAGGCATCGCGCAAACGTTCTTTACGCGCTGCGGCAGCTTTGATCTTGGTTCATTTGCATAGCGCTGCGTGCGCGTAGCTTTGCCGAGTGATCCCCTTCTCAATAATACCTCCATGGGCTAACTACACCTCAGCCTAGCTAGGCCCCTAAAAGTCTAGGCCTATCTCTGATCGACATCATAGGCTAGGCAAGGCGCGGCATAGGCTACAGCCTAGGGCTGTGCCTACATAGTAGGCCTCTCTAGGCCTGTGTAGGGCTAGCCGGTATGGTTAGGCCGAGGATCTTTTGGCTTGTGCCCAGGTATATCTTTATTTTTATCTGATCGACTTCTAAAACATGCCATTTATTGCTGATGTTTTGTGCCATAAAACTACAATATATATCCAGTATAATGCAATGGGTACTCCGAAGAGGTACCATCCTAGGGCCAGATCCAGGATTTGAAAGAGGAGGTTCAAAATTTTTCCAATTCCAAGTCACCTATTTTGTTGACGAACGTGAGAACCTTTGGTGAGATTTGAGAAGTACTGGCATAGGCGCGATTTTTTTTTTCGTACGAAAAATTTGCATGAAACTCCACTCTGGCCGTCTCGGAATGACTTGATCGACTTGAGTTCTTTAAGAGCAGGCGCTTCGCAATGTCGTGATGCTTGAGTATTCTTCATTACTGTATTGTTCATAGGCGTAGATCCCGGGGATGGGGGATAAATCCCCCAATATTTGACAAGGGGGTGGTCCATTGTATCATTCCCCCCCCCCCCAATATTTTGACTATGTATGACATAAAATGGAGCTTTA